AAAAAAAAAAAAAAAAAAATGAATATTCTGAGACAGAGTCTGTAAGGATCATCTGACAGTCAAAGGGCTTTAGGCAACATTAAAGCAAGAACCTGGGAAAGTCTCCTGAGACTCACTGAACTGCCTAAACCTCAGTCACAGAAAACACAAAAGGTATTCTGTAACATCTATGCTGACAGATAGTAACTGCCCTAGTTGGAGCAAGGATTTAATAATGTGGGTAACTTTTGAACCACTGACTTGCATATTTGAAACCAATATAATATTGTATACAGACTATACTTCAATTAAAAAAGTAAAGGTGATCAGAAAATAGGCAGTGCTACCATAAAAGTTAACAGTGCTGTCATTCATAGTCACTCTACATTTTTCATTGATATTTCTTTAAGTTGTAATGACTAAAGACCATCACTGTTCCAAAAGTGAGAGAAATGGTGAAATAGAAATAGATTAATTTTCAAAATAAGATACTCATTTATTTGTTAAGTAACTGCACCAAAACAATATAACATCTCCTTTGTCCTAAGAAGAATTTACTGTTAATCAGATGATAGACAAACAGGGTTATAAGACTACTTAAAAATCCTTTATTATGTAGTAAGTAGACTTCACTGAATATAGCTTAACTCTTAGTATGATCAGCTTTAAAATTATACACCACATTTGCAATTTGTCAGAATTGTGACAAATAAATTTATATCTTACCTCGCCATATGTATTTAAGTTGCTTTTTAAATAGCCCGTAAGTGCAGCAACTTGGCATGCAAAATATGGGAGTGCCCAGTTTTCTCTTAAAGGAATGGAGTATTCAATTCTTGTTGTATCTAACCTAAAATAAACCACAGATGAACAGCAAAACAGCAAGACATTATATTTGTGTAACACTATAGTCTTCTAAGCACTTTCACACACATCTCATTGTTCTCCATAACAATCCTGTGGGATGTAGACAGGACCCCGTTGCTGATACAGCACCTCTGAGCAAAGTAAGAGTGCCTCACCCTACCCACCTTCCCTCCCACCCAGGAAGACTTAGTGCTGCAGTGGACTGCTGGGTGAACAGATGGGCCTCTGGGAGACTCTGAAGAAGGCAGCCCTGTTCTAGGCAGATGAGGCCTCATGCTCAGGTACAGCCTGATTCAAGTACACTGGATTTCAGCCCCACCCTCCCTTCCCTTAAGGAGATGGCTTCCCTTCTCTAGAGCACTGTCTGCATTACATAATTAGCAGGACTGACAGATCCAAAGCTCTTACCGCCCTTATTTAAGGAATATGAAGCTCAGATAAGTGATGTGACTAAGTCAAGTCAGACAGCTAACAGGTGGCACAATTTGGATTACTTTGCATATTTTCTGATATCTAGTTTAGTAATATTTTCAATCAGCAGGTTACCCAGAAATAACATTACAGTAGTCCTTCATGTTATATATCTAGAGACTTTTGAAAATTCCCAAATCACAAATACAAAATGGCTTTGTAGGCTTCTCCTAAGTTTCTCCTTAATCAATTTTCATTGAGAGCCTGTCGTCTCCTCTGCATATCCTCACACAAGTGGACTACCTTTCCAACATTAAATTTGGATCTCATACATTCAATGACTATTTTCCACACAAAAATAAAGGTGCTATTGCTTTAAAAATTTATGAAAATTGCTGCATAACTCTCCCTAAGTAATAGAGATGAATATGCTTACATATAATTTAGTTTAACTGAATTGTGGTATAGCCATACTATAGGATACTACTTAGCAATAAAAAGGAATGAGCTTTTGATACACCCAACACACATGAATCTCAAAATAATTATGCTGAGTGAAAAAAACCAGACCAAAAGTATATGCTTTAAGACTTCATGTATATAAAACTCTAGAAAACGCAAACTAATTTTTGTGACAGAAAGAGATTACAGGTTTCCTGTGGACAGTGAAGCAGTAGTAGAGGTGAGGCAAGAAGAGGCAACTTTTGGGGGTGACAGATGTTAATTATATTGATTTTGTTGGTTTCACAAGTGTGTCTAAATACCTAATTAAACTACACACTTTAAATTATAGTTTATTCTATCTCAATTTTACCTCAAGAAAACTGTTAAAAAGCATTAGAAGACTTGTCTTCTATGAATGCATATGTGATTGAATGTAGACAAGAAATAACAGCCTTATATATGAAGATCAAATGAAAAGCTGTAAAGAACTTGGCAGTGTGTCTAAAACTTAGTAACGTAAGTATTAGACCTTAGCTCTTTTACAATTCTGTACTGAGCTGCTTTTTACTTAATATATTATGAGCATCTTTCCATAATATCTATGTGCCAATAAACATATTTCAAGAATATTTAATGGTCATGGCATATCACTGTATAGATTCATCATTAACTAATTTCTATTGTTATATACCTACATTGTTTTCAACTTCACCTATTACAAATAGTTTTAAAAAACATGAACCAATGTTTTCGTATAGTAATTATTGGTCTCTCATTGTTTACTTTTAACTCTAATCCATTTGGAAATTATTTTCGTATGTGTGCAATAGCTATTTTTTTTCAGATTGGATTATTCCAACACCAGGTACTGAACATCATGTATTCTAAAGACCACCTATTTTCATAATATACTTTTCCTGAAACACTGCTGTGAAAGTTAACTTTCTAAAAGACAAACAAGAGATTCACATGACATAAAGCAGGAAGTGGGGAGGATAGAGAGGCTACTTTCATTTCAGGATTCCACCAACCTCTCCATCAGCCCAGAACTGAGCTGAGCCCAGCAGTCCATTTTCTTAATGTTCACTCACTACCCCTACAGGACTCAGATTAGTGCAGTGAAATCTTCAAAACTGCACTAGAAACACTGCCTGGAGAAGGTGTGAAGGTATCCTTCTCCCCTAGTCACTGCAGCACAAACTGTCTCTGCCCATTATTCTCCACACGCGGACAAACCTCCCCATTGAGACTTTCCTGAGCACTACTGCTACTCAGTCTGCCTGCCACATGCTTGGGTGGTCGTGAGAACCAGAGGCTAATAGTGGGATGTGACAAAATCAGATGAGATCCACTTTTCCCCCAGAGGCAGAGTCTAACAGCAGCACAAACCAACAGTTCAAAATAGTAACTGGTTGGATCAACTGGGGTTCACAGACCTGTAGATACACTCAGAGAGATCAGCGAGCTCCGAGTTTAATTTTGTGTTTTCATTTTAAACACATCACAAGCACAATCTGGATCACCTGGAAGACTATCTTGTAACTCCCCACCAAAAGATTCCAACACTTCCATATTTGTGTTCACGGTCTATTTGGCAACACAGTACTACTTGGCTTAGGCTAATCAGGGAAAAAAGGAGAGATGATCTTAATACTAAATGATGTACTGACAAATAAAAGCAAATGATGTGCTGATCACTGCAGTAAATAAAGATTTCACAGTAGACTGAATAGAGCAACATGAAGAGAACTGAGTCATTTCACAGTACCCAGCTGTGTAGGTTTGTCATACTCAAAAAGAACCTGCTGGACTGGTACCACATTTATGCCAAGAGTAGAAATTTGGTTTCAGCAAAACACAAGTTTCACATTGAATGAAAATCTCTGTTAATATTTTACTGGTTTGTTATTTACTGAGTAAACTTGTTTTATAGTAGCATAAGTACTTTTAAGCATAAGGAGCTTTACCTAGTTTTATGTTTTATATTTAAGTAGCATAATAATTCAAAATTTTTAAGTCAACACATAGAATCCATGAGAATTTTTAAATATACATAACTGAAAATTGAGAAACACTGAGTTAAATAACATGTAAAATATTTTGGCATCTAAATGTATAATGTGTGAAAGTTGAAAAGCACTTATATAATATCAGTATAACTTCAAATGAATGCATATTACATTGCACTGATTGTTACAATTTACCTAACTATTCTCTGACATTTAGGTGTTTTTCTAATTTTCCATATTATTACAAATAATATTATAATAAATAAGTTCAAGTAGTGAACTCTTTCCTCTCTTTTTTGGATTACTTTCTTCAAATAAAATAGAATTCCTGGGAAATACTCTCACCTACAACTGAAAAAGCATACACCTCATGAGCATTCTGAGTCTACTGGTATCATCACAACAGAACCAGCACCATGTGTTACTATTATTTGCTGTTAACTGTACCTCTGGGACTTGTACATTTTCTTGCATCTTACCTCTTTACTATTAACAATCTATAGTTACTTTCTTTTTGGCCAAAAATCAGATTTAACATAGACTTTTAATCACATATATTTATTTGTCCTTCAAATATGAAGATATTTCATTGAAAGTGATACCTAGGCATATATTTGTAGATGAGATTAGTAGGGACCAACACCAATTTCTGTATTTTTCACTTGGGAGGCCTGAACTCAGGATAGCCCATTATGGTGATAAGTCTGTTCAAAGAGTCATTTGCCTCTGACATTTTCCCCCAATATTGTCTGTACAGTGATGTTTCCTGAAATTTCTTTGAATTTTTTAGTATGCTTACATCCTTTGGTTTGAACAAACAGAAGCTATTTTATAATCCTGTTTTCCTCTTCTGGTGTTAAGGAACAAGTAACACAAAATACCATTAAGAACACTACTAATAACCATAATATAATGGAATGACTAATACCTTTTTTATATTTTTTCTAGGCAATCATATATTAACTCTAAAGGTGATGAATAAAAAAGACAGCATTCTTAGCATTTTCAAGTTCTTTCACGGCATTAAAATATATTTGGGAGTGTCAGATACATACCAATTAAAAAATGCAAAGTAAAACAACAAAAAAAAACCACTTGCCAAGATGTTTCAACTGCTAAAAGATACATTTTAGCAGAGTATGTCAGGTTAACCCTATTCCAGCTATGCTATGATACACTGTATCATTAAGGCAATTTAATTGTCATTTAAGTAAGGCAATTTCCTTACAATTCTCACTAAGATCTCTAAAATATTCCATTTGACAAGGAATCTTATTATCCTTTATTGCCATTATTTTTACATGGAAAAGTAAATTTGGCTTCCTCTTTGAGTTTCTGAAGAAGACAGGTCTAGGAATTAAATGAAATGTCTACTAAAAACTTATTGCATGTGGTAGCCAGTCTGAGATGATCTACAATAGTCCCTGCCTTCCAGTATTAATGTTCTGTGTAGTCACTTCCCACATTGCACTAGAATTAGTCTGGGTGACTAGTAGAATATGGCACAGTGACATCATATTATTTCTGACATTAGGTTATAAAAGATGCTGACTTCCACTACTGCACACTCACTCCACACTCTCTTGGATCATTAACTCTAAAGAAAGCCAACAACCAAGTTGTGAGCAGCCCTATGGAGAGGCTTGGGTGATGAGAAACTAAAGCCTTCCAGCCAGCAAGGAACTGAGGATTCTTGTGAACAGCCACATGAGTGAGCTTGGAAGTAGATGGTCCAGGCCGATTAAGCCTTCAGATGACTGTAGCCCCAACCAACTCTTGACTGCAACCTCGTAACAGGCCCTGAACCAGAACCACTCCAGATTCCTGACCCTCAGAAACTGCTGTTTTAAGCTGTTTAAACATTTGTTAGGCAATAATTAATACATCACATAATCAAGAAAGCAATCCTTTTAGAATATCTGTATTTTAAATAATGCTTGTTTTGTAATAAACAGTATTTCATTCTAAAAAGCAAGACTTGCTAGAGCTAGTCTATGAGTACTGAAATACTTTTGGTGAATGTGCTGTTAAATTTCTAACAATAAGTCCTAAAGGAAATTTAAAAAGTACTTAGCAACTTACAATATTCTTTAACAAGCACTTTCTGACATAACAAGAAATAATCTTATCCCCTGGCATCCACATCAGATTCTCTAATACGATCCTATATTAAAAAGAACCAAAGCTCCATAAAGAAATGGCTAATTCCAAATCTTTCACAGGGAATGTACAAGGTGAGCTTCACCTTGTTGAACCAGAAAACAAAAAAGCTTTCAAAGATTAATGAAGATGTGTCAAAAGAACTCAGGAGCCAGCCTGAAAGGACTTCTACTGACCAAACCTGTGACAAGCCGGAGGAATGACAAGGACAATGAGGGTAATGATTTAGTCCTACTGAATCAATGAAAGTCCTTAAATTGAGAACAATGTTTACAAAATACCAGGAAGGTTTTTTTCTTTTCTGTCACTGAGACAGCTACTAAAACCATCTTTTACTTAGAAATTGGTAATTTCAGTGAAATTAAGCATTTTCCCTGGCTTTCTAATAGCAATTTAAAGGTAACCAAAGAACCCTAGTTAGTAGAGAAAAATTCTACCTTTGAAGAATAAAGAATGTGCCTAATGAAAATAGAACAACTTTCTTTTATAAACCTTAATAAAGTTACTAATTTCAGCAAAGATTATCAACTGGAGTTATAACCCTTAGGTAAATGGTTAACAGTGAAAAGGACAGTCATTTGGTGCCCCCAAAACATCATATAGATTATTTTCTGGTCATACAGGAGAACACAACTATTCACTGGGAAGATCTGCCATCCCCCAAACCAGCAGAGAATCCCAGCTTCACCAGGGTTAGGCCAACTAAATTCTTTAACTTCTAATGTCATGGAACATGAAAACTCACCACCTATGATATATTCAAACCAGAATAATTTATATTGAACCCATCAGGCCTTTACATGTAACTTCCAGCTTATAAAAACACAGGAAATAGAGAGGAAAGCCAGATTACAGCACAAAGAAGCAGCAAGAGAACTCCAGAAGCTGGGACATTCTGTAGAACAAAGGTCTTGGTTCCTTCAGCATAAAAAAAGGATGTTATATTTGATTTCCCCTTTTGCACCAGCTGCAGAAAGCTCTCCACTTTTAAGGGCTCATATGATTAGATCAGGCCCACCAGGTAGTCTTCCTACATTAAGGTTAATGATGCCATTTAACACAACATAATCATAGGAAATATCACATTCACAGGTGGGGATTAGGGTATGGAATATTTAGAGAGAGGGGAGCATTTCTGGAACTGACTACCACAGCTATAAAAAAAATTGTAAAACTTAATAAAAAACACCTTTCTTACCTGTTAATGATGAACCACGCAACAGTAAGCATTCCTGCTAGCCACGTTCCACTCATAAGCCAACTTGTAACAAATAAAGCAGTAACATATATTCCTTGCAATCCAAAAACAATCCCAATGTAGAAATACACCGGCTCAATAATCTCCTAATTGGAAAAAGAGAGAGGAGACAACAGGATGACACTATATAATTTTAAGGATTCACAAATATGTGAAAAAATAAATATTAAAGTCAAAAGAAAAACACATACATTGCTACCAGTTGCTTGATATAAAACGCTGGCAATAAGTTCTGGATAGAGAGACATTTGCTGCACTGCGTTTATAGTCTTCAGAGACACAGTTTTGTTATTGTGTGTCAGTTCATAAACACCTAAAGACAGAAAAATTTCTCCAGATTATATATGCTTTTTTAATAGTAATTAAATGTGTCATTCATATGTCATTAAATATTTAAAATTATTATCAAGACACATCTCAAAATATACTCTGTGCCTCACATTCCCAATTTTTTTACTAAGTACAAGAAAGAGCAATACCTATGTTATGGACAAATCTCCACATTCAAGGGCTCCCACATAGAAGAACAATGTTTAATCTTAGAAAATATTGTTATTAAAAATACAAATGTGATTTTTTTACCTCTTTCAAATGAAGGTGCCTTTAACATATCTTTATAATAAGAATAATAAATGGCACTGTCACCCTGAAATGTGATTTCCCGTTCAAGCTCCTAGAAGAAAATGAGATGATTATTAAAATACCAGTATCCTAAATTTCAACTGCAATCTTCTTTCTCTCTTTTCATCTTCTAAACTAGTGCCTTTATTTATCCTTCTATTCAAAGACATTTGAATTTCCTTTAACTAGTGGCCACATTAATCAGGTTACACTTTTCAATCATCTGGCAATCACTTCAATGAAACAACTAAGATTTAAAAAAGATTGTAACTCACAACTCATTTATCTATTATATATATAAGGAAAATCTAGAAGGAAAACCAAAAGAAATGCCCTAAGGCAGGTAATAAAAAAATAATACCTATTATGTATAAGGAAAATCTGGAAGGAAAATTTAAAAAATAGGCCCTAAGGACAGCAAGAATAGTAAGGCAGGTAATAAAAAATGATGGTGGAGGTGTTAGAAGTCCACAATGAAAAGATAAGTTTGAGAAGAAAGTAGTATTTCCTATTGCTTTTCATTTCACTATGTATCCAGAACAACAAGTCCTTAAGTATACTTTTCAAGAGCAGCAGTTATCTGAAAATCCATCAACATTATCCACCACATCAACAGAAAGGACAAAAACCACATGATCATCTCCATAGATGCTGAAAAAGCATTTGACAAAAATTCAACATCTATTCATGATAAAAACTCTCAAAAAAATGGGTATAGAGGGCAAGTACCTCAACATAATAACGGCCACATATGATAAACCCACAGCCAACATCATACTGAACAGCGAGAACCTGAAAGCTTTTCCTCTGAGATCAGGAACAAGAGAGGGATGCCCACTCTCCCCACTGTTATTTAACATAGTACTGGAGGTCCTAGCCACAGCAATTAGACAAAACAAAGAAATACAAGGAATCCAGATTGGTAAAGAAGAAGTCAAATTGTCACTATTTGCAGATGACATGATATTGTACATAAAAAACCCTAAAGACTCCACTCCAAAACTACTAGAACTGATATCAGAATACAGTAGAGTTGCAGGATACAAAATTAACACACAGAAATCTGTGGCTTCTCTATACACTAACAATGAGCCAATAGAAAGAGAAATCATGAAAACA